ATATATATATATATATATATGTTTTGTTTTTTGGTTTTTTTTTTGTACCAGGGATCAAACTTGGGTCCTTGAGGTGGCACCACTGAGCTAAATCCCTGACAACATGATTACATTTTAAATAAAGATTTTCCAATCATCACAAAAATGTTAATGGAGTAGAAGAACGTGGTTCTCTTTAGTGCTATTCAGTATGTTTGGCATAAATACTCACAATACTTGTCTTCCTACTTGACTTCAGATTCTACTTGAGGAAACTGTGAAAGATTTACTCACTCCACTTTTGTTAGAAAGTATGGAAATATTTGTGCATGGGAACTTTCATTGCATGCTAGAATGGAAATTCATGGGGGAGGAGGGGGAAACCATTTCATTTTATTGCCTAAGAGCTGTTGATATTCTCCCGGCTTCTTTCAAAGGCATCTTTCATGCCACACAGGCAAACTGTAGCTGGTGAAGGAATAGAAAGAATGCTTCTCACATGTGTCAATCTCAGCAAACTTGCACAGCAGCTGTGCTAGGTAGTGATGAGGATAACCACAGGACCCAGTTGCTGGGTTTTGTGTGGTGGAAGACACAACTGGCTCTCTCGGGGGATCACTTTGTTGGAGATTGCAGCAATAATGCATCCCCACTGTTGCTATTGGATATTGTGACCGTGTAGTACAAAATTGGTGCCAGATAAAATCAGAAAGTAATAAAAAGCAAGAAAACTCACAGATTTGTTTTAAGCCTTAAAGTGAGAAACTAAAACAAACGTTCTGGGCTTGTTGCATTCACTTGTAAGGAAAAGGAGACAGAAGAAGGGATATCTTTAATGCATGAAACTTATGGGACATTTAGTCTTTTCATTTGAAAACCATTTGGGTGTATTGAGGAATAAAGTTGCAGAGTAGGCATGTTCCAACCTTTATTTACTACTTTTAGTAGAAAGGATTTTCCCCCCTCTGAAGTACAAGAAGCCAGAGTTTTCTGTGCAAACGAAACAGGCGTTGCAAGAATCAGATTCACTTTGGACGACTCTTCACATTCCAAGTCATCATTGCATTAGGCATCACAATTCCATCTCTGGTTGATGGGCAGAAAAAGTGGGCAGCTTGCCAGGTAGACGTTTCCATGACTCCCAGCCCCCAAAGGTGATGCGTTTTTCAGCTAATTCAATGAAGAGTGGGCTGAACTTTGGGTCTAAACGAGACAATAGCTGCCTTCGCAGTATCAGCAGAATGGTTGATGGGAATGCACTCTACATTTGGCAGAGAATCATGTGACCTTACGACTGAGATTTTGTGATGGTGCCAACGGAGACTTGGAAAGCAGCAACGGTCCTGACTTTTTTCTTTTTTTTCTAGCGTGGCTCAGAAAATGGTGGATCTTAATACTTGACTTTAGCCAGACTCAGCAAGCAACTGAGCTTTGAAGCACAACTTCGCCTTTATTCTGGGTTTTTGGCAGGCCACCAGGAGGCTGTCCCTTTCACGCCTGATAAATTCTGCTGCTTATGTCCAGAGAGAGAGAGAGAGAGAGAGAGAGAGAGAGAGAGAGATAATAACAGAATATTGAAGCATAACAAGTGAATCCTAAAATTGTATGTTTTTTGTTTTGTTTTTTAGTCTTTACTGACTTTTTAAATGTTAATGTGCTTCTTTTTTCCTTGCTGAAGAATCCAAGTAGTTGGGTTATTTATTTATGTATTTTTTGGTTTCTAATGAACAGGCATTTGAACTGGGCAAACAGGACGACAGCAGCAGTGAGTATGAGATCATTGCAGCCCTGTAGCAAACTGGCATCCTGCCTTTTCACCACTTTGGTTCGGGAGACAAACGTGTACAATCCTCATTTTTAAAGTCAGCACAGCCTGGAAGGATTCCTGGTCTCTCCCACCTTCTACCATTCTGCTGCCGGTGACGGCAAGGATTGGTGCAGTTTCTGTGCAGTGCTTTGTGCCTGGAATACCGAGAAGGAAGAAAAAGAAGATAAGCCCTCTGGTTCTTCTTTTTAAAGAAATAACAGGATCCCTGAAGAAAAAAAAATCCGAGTTTGTTTTACTACATGCAAGAGTTCTGAAAAAGAGAGAGAAAGAGAGACGCTCCTGCTCAAAAACAAAAACAAAACAAAACAAAAATCCAATCCAAAAAACAAACAAACAAACAAAAAGCAAACATTGGCTTACATAACTGCAGAGACATCGGGCTTTCTAAAGCAGCTTTTTAAGGCAACATAATCAAATGAGCCTTCTTTATTTTTACTATTTCAAAAAATATGGCATGATTAGCAATACATTGCACTTGGTGAAATCGCACCTTTCATAACAGGTATAACTTTTTGTTATTTCTTTTTAAGCCTACTGTTATATAAAAGAAGATCCTTGAACTTTCGATTTATTCTTATTTAACTCATCACCCACTTTACTCTAAACTTTTTCTTTTACTTTCTTACTCTAACCCTAAAGTAAAAATATAAAAATCTCTATGAAAATGTTTTTTTAAAATTTTTGCTACACACAGAAGTTCTTTTAGAAGACACTAATGTGTCATCTATGCTTTTTATGTCCAGCATTTGTTTTGCTAAGAAACGTGAGTGTTTAGATCTTGTTGTTAGAGAAAGTAAAATCTTTCATGTGTTTCGCAATTTGGAATGTGAAAGAAGAAATTTTTTGAACTTCTGAAATCATACTAAAATATGATTCTGGATCATACTAAAATATGCATTTGAGAAAAGTTATACTTAAATTATTTACAAGGATTTTAGTAGCACAAAAACAGGGATGAAAAGATCATGTTCTCAGTTGCTAAGTGGAAAAGAAGCTTGTTTCTTAATAATGCTCTTTTAAAAATACATTTAAAAAGAAGTATTTGTCCAAGAGCAGTTGCAAAGGAAATTGGAAATACCCATTAAATATTTTGTGGAAAAGTACATACAAACTCGTATTAAGTTCAAAACAACATATTGGCTCAGCACATAGCTGCATTGCATCCTAATTATTTGTAAAAGTAAGTTGCTAAGCAATTTAAGCATTTTATAACAAAATGCAGTTTTGCCTAGTTCCATGTGAAAAGATTAGCAATGCATCCTGTTTATTTTAGTTTTGATAAAAATGTTTCTAAAGATGTATAAAATTGTTCAAAGAGAAAATGCTTTTTAGAAATACAGCAGGTATCAATGAAGTCTATATTTTCAAATTATTGAGTGGTGCTATATTTTATATAAAACAATAAATTTTATTCAAACTATTATACTCTTAAAATATTATTGTATTATGTTAAAAGTATGTAGGAGAAACAAAGAGAACTATAGAAATGCTGAATTCTGTCTTCTATTTCGTTCTTCTCTGAGGAATTTATGGGAAATTACAAAAACCTTATGTACTGGTAACATTTAAATAAAATATTTCATTATATTTATTGTTACTGTTAGCTAAGTATTTACAGAATAGCTGATTCTTTCATGGTGCCTCAGCTAATGGAAAGTCAACTTTCAAAGGCTTAATTAATATTGATAAAATGTTTTCATGTTTCAAGATCCTTTAGTTTCAAAATATGATTTTAGATTTTATTTCTAGAAGTCATTAATCTCTATACTCTTAATTATCTTATTAAGCTCCATGCCAAAATCAAATCTCTTCAGCTCTCACTACTTCATTGTGTTAAATCTAGTCGCTTTTTAAAGAACCTTCCTCCTTTCACTTTCAAAACTGTTCCTGTTAAAACAACACTAACCAAAATGAATGCATAAATGTAAGCTATGAAACCACAGCATATGTCACAGGAGTGACTTGGGTGGGGCCCTATGAGTCTTCCAAGCCTATATTTTTTAATACTTTAGAAAGATTTTCCCATTTTGGTATTGTATTTTCTTCTCGATCATCTACCTTCGTTCCCACCATCCATTCAGGTCCTTCTCCTATATAGCAGTTGTCTGATATTTCTCCTTTTGTGGTTGTTTTAGGGAAAAACTTAAAATGGATATGAGAAGTGAAGAAAGTGATCATAGGAGAAAAATCATCTCAGGTAAAAATAAAAAGCAAAAGATCAATTATATGTGCACTTTTAAAGAAAAAACATTTTTTCACTGTTTAGTTATAAAATAATTCATACTTTTAATGAATTTAGCTGATGGAGATTTTAATTTATAGTTTTCATTTGAGATTTTATGTGCTATCTTTATAACAAAATTTTCCTGAATATAAGATTAATGTCCTGTCTGCATCACTTTGAATATATATCTGTTTATACATTCATGCAACATAGGTAAAATATGGTTGAATAGAAAACTAAAAAGAAATTAGGTTTTCCATTTGTTGTACCATATAAAGGAAGTGAAATCTGGGTGAAGGAAATAATATGGTTCTTTTTAAAATCTTTTTGTATGGGTCTACTATGATAGCAAAACCAAAACATACATTCTTACAGTGATAAAAAAACAATGTTATCCTTTATTTCACATAGAAATTCATAAAAATAAGTTGAAATATTTTACTATAATTTAAAATATGGCTGAAGATTATTTAACTTTTTAATAAGTATGAGAAAATTTTGAAAGTAAATAATGGTGAAAAATTATGTAGACCAAATTATCTGTATGAAGTCTATAAAACACATTTAATTTTATTTATTTCAAAGCACACAAAATCATAATTACTATGTTGTATTATTTTTCACAATGAAGATATGATTAAGAAAAGTTAAGTGATTATAGATATGAGTGAAACAATTGTACAACTTATAATTTTGTTGCAGTTGAGCTTAGAATCTTAAAAAAGTCTATGTGCTTGGCTTTAACGTTTACTCATTTGTTTGCTGTTGTCTGGTGGTTTAATTTTTTTTTTTAAAAAGGAATGCATTTTTGACCAACCTGTTGACCAGATGAGAATTATATGTAGGCACATATTTTGTTTTAAATATACCTTTTAAAAATAGATTTAAATATATTTTTCTCATGAGATAAAATATCCTCTCTGATGTAATACATCTGGAGTATAAGTGTTAGCACGGAATATCAGTAATGATATTGTTAAAATGCCACTGATTTTAGTTCTCTGGTTTTAATTCATTCAAATATTGTAAATTTTAGTTTTATTCTGACTATACACTTATGTGAGTTCCTTTGAGATTTGTAGTATCTTTCTATGTTCTTTGCTCAAGTTATTTGTTTTATTAAAAAATACATATTATCAATTTTTAAAAGCTGGTTTCTAAAGCTTTAAAAGAATCAAAATGAAAATTTTAACTTAAGTGCAATTAATTTAATAAGTTGTTTTTAATTATAAACATACTGCATCATGGTTTACAATTATATAATTTATGTGTATGTATGGGTTCTTTTTTCTTTTAATACCTTGTTTTTGACTAGAATAGTTTGATTCCAAAATATTGATCATTTTTGAAAAAGCAATCTGAAAAATTTTCAGTAAATATTTTTAAATCCTCACATATATATAAAAATCTATATTTAATTTAGCATATTTATAAAGGCCTTTAACAGGTATATAGGGCCTTATAGTTCAGTATTTAAAACATCCATACGAAAAGATTAATAGTGTTATGTTTTGCTCCTAAATTGTGTTAGATATATACAGCAAATTCTACGATAATAGGCAGCCATGCAAGATGTTGCCCATTGGCATAAACCCGTAGATCCGATCTTGTGGTGAAGTGGATGGCACAAGCTCGCTTCTATGGGTCTGTGTCAGTGTGGTAATCTGACAAAATACTATACACAGTGTTTATTAATAAAATTTCAACAAATTCTTGTTAGGCTCCAGTTTATTATATAGTCTTGAAGTAATTGTGTTTTCCATGTATATATTAACCCTCATCTATTTTACAAGGCAGACTGTGATAGTAGACCACTTGGAAATATTTATAACACAGCCATTCAAGTTTGATTTCAAGTGCAATAAACTGCTTTAGAAAGCTGATTTTTTTTTAACAAAAGTATATGAATCAAGACCTTAATATATCCAGTTCAGAAACTTCAGTGCATACTTCCATGGTTAATGCAGCTCATCAATTTCAATAAGAAAGTAATTATTTATTATATGTTGCCATGGAGCCTATTTCTCCTGGAAAATAAAGTTGAGTGCTACTGGCTTTTAATATTATTAATTGCTAGTTGAACAGGAAAGGTGTAAGAATGCATGTTATGACCTATGCTAGAAACCCAAGAGGTTAGCATGGTCCTATGAGACATATTTTAAGTGTCTTGGTAAAATGTTAGCATATTATATCTACATCCTTGCCAAGCCCTTAGGTATATGGCCACCATATTTGGAGGAGCTGACTGAAGATAAGATAAGGAGTTTGAAGCAACATTGGAAGCTGTGTGCATCCGGGTTGAGGTAGTAGGTTGTATGGTTTAGAGTTATACCCTGGGAGTTAACTGTACAACCTTCTAGCTTTCCTTGGAGCACACTTGAGCCATCGAGGAACTCTTCATCATTTTAATCTGACTGGGTAAATTTCTGTGTAAGGAAGTAATGTGTCATGAATATTTTAGACAATTTGTTTGATTTTTAAGAATATATGTAAATTGTCATTTTAGCCTTAATTATTACACTATTCCATTTGCATCTCTTCAGAGCAATGGCATAAATGTTATCTCTAATAAATTAGTGCTCTATTTTGAAACATTTTAAAGAACTGATTGGTAGTGACTTTAAACTGTACTACTGTGAGGCCTATTTCATCTATAAATTCACAAATTTTGGCATTTAGTCTTCAAAATTAATCACTGGCCTATTTTTACTGGCTACTTGCTATCTTAAAAACAAACAAACAAAAGGGCCTGTTGGCATGTACCTGTGGTCACAGCGCTTATGGGAGGCTTGAGCAAGAGGATTGCAAGTTCAAGCCTAACCTGGGCAACTCAGTGAATTAGGAGATCCTTCTATCAAAATAAGACCCCCCAAAAAAGTTTGTCATATTAGTAACTCCCATAGCACTTTAACTGAACTTTTCGTATGACACATCACTTTCTACCTTATTTATGGCTATTTATGTGCTTGTTTTTTTTTTTCCATACTAGACTGTAAGCCCCTTGAGGGCAGTCTATGCCTTATTTTTCATTGTATCCTTTTCAGTGTGGTACACATCATATTCCGTAGATATTTATTGGAACAGTGAATGGCATAAAAGTTCTCATTTTTTGGTGAGTTTCTATTGAACTTACTGAATGAATTACAACAGTAGTCAGAATCTAAGTATTGTTTATTGGCCCTTAAAATTGCAGTAATTTAGTTCCCAGAGTGTTCTGCATCAGTAAAGGATATAGCTTGATTTTTTAATGTGAGTATGTTGACTCATCCTAGGCATAGAATTTAAATTTAGAACTTTTTCTCTGGTGTAAAAAGAATAAAACTAATTTATTTTATTAATTAGTTTATTACAGTTTGTAATTTCAAATACCTCTATTTCCAGATAGTTATTTTTCTTTTAGCATCAATTTCCTTTAATAATTATTTTATATTCACATGTATATAGTATAAATTTTAAAATTATATTTTCTCATCTCTCTCATGTGTATTTCTGTTATATTTAACCTTTATATTTGTACAGCTATCTATGTTGAATAAACTAGAAACAACCAAACAAGACATGTTAAGGACTTAATATTAAATAATAATATATACTTTAAAAATTTGAACACATTTTTGTTTAAAAGAATGCTATTACAATATGCTTTATCTTATAAGACAGATGGGTCTTTTGAGAATCCAGTTTGCTGACAACTTAAGCAGCAGTTAGTGTTACAATTTGTGGATGGCACTATATCTTATATGATCATCTTCCAGCTACAGAATTAGGTTTCAGCATTATAACTTTAATTTATAACTTGAAATTTGAAACATGAAAATGGCAAATACAAGCAGAAATTACACAAATCTCAAGATCTTGGTTATGTGGAGATTAGCTTTCTAGAGTACTCAGGCATTCAACATTTCTCAGTCTCAACACCTCAGTTTCAACAATGGTATAAAACAAGGAACCTCTAGATCCCCAATATGTAGAATATGTAGTCTTAGAAAGTTAAGTACCAATAATTTAAAACAAAGTATTTTATTATTATTATTATTATTATTAAATTTTTTTAGAAAAGTAAAACTGTTAGTGCCAATTAAAGGAAAAATTTTACAAGGACCAATCAAGAAGCAATGAATGAGAGAAAGAAAATACACACACAAAGGAGACATGAAGAAAGAGAAGGAAAAGTGGTTCATGACAAATAGAAGTGGCATTGTGTCATGTGATGTCAGTTCAACGCAAAGGTGGAAAGGACAGACAACAGAGGGATAAGTTATATCTATGCAATAGTTTAACCCTTGAGAACCAAAGACCTTTTTCTTAGATGCGCGTGTGTTTGTACATGTTCATGTGTGTGTGTCTCTCTGTGTATATGTGCATGTGTTTATAGATTTGAGCCCTAGTCACAGACACATTAATAACCTAGATAGAATACTATTGCCAATAAATGTCTATTTCCATGGAACACATTACAGTTAAATACTACAAAGGTCAACTATGATATGCAGCATAAGGGTGATCTTATAGAAATTCTATAACATCATTGAGTCTCTTGTATACCATCTAAAGTAAATTGGTGTTATAAAACAAATTCTGAATTGTAATGAAGATTTAACTATGATTCATTGTATTACTCATGTAGAAATCATAAGAAAAATTCTGAAAAGCATAGGATATAGTATTAAGGAAGAAAAACATTTAAACTTTTGTGTAGTCACAGGCAACTCATATTTTTGCCTTTGATTCACAATAAATTTTGCTTAGCAACTACAAGGGTTATTGAAATTACTATAAATTTATGAGTAAATTGTAAACTGTACGTAAACAAATTGAAAGACTTTTTTAATGAAAAATATAAGATCTAGGACCACTGCTGATATCAATTAGAAATAGTTCAACTATGTCTAAGAAACGGACAGGAATCATAAATCTAGAGTACTGGTGTTCACTTATGAGGGTCAACTATCCAGAATGAATAACTCCCTTAG